GGGCAGCTTGGTCTGGGACATCTTGGTGTGGGGCAGCTTGGTCTGGGACATCTTGGTGTGGGGCAGCTTGGTCTGGGACATCTTGGTGTGGGGCACCTTGGTCTGTGACATCTTGGTGTGGGGCATCTTGGTCTGGGAAACCTTGGTCTGTGACATCTTGGTGTGGGGCATCTTGGTCTGGAAAACCTTGGTCTGCGACATCTTGGTGTGGGACACCTTGGTCTGGGACATCTTGGCGTGGGACACCTTGGTCTGGGCCACGTTGGTCTGGGACATCTTGGTGTGGGGCACCTTGGTCTGGGACATCTCGATCTGGGTCATGTTGGTCTGGGCCACGTTGGTCTGGGATATCTCGGTCAGGGCCACGTTGGTCTGGGACATCTTGGTCTGGGATACCTTGATCTGGGACATCTTGATGTGGCTCCTCAGGACCAGCCAGGGTCTCCGAGGCAGTTGCAGCAACAGTCCCAGGAGGTGTCATGTCCCCTGCAGGGACATCAGTAGACAGTGGACTTGCAAAATCTTCAGAAGTACAACCCCCCTCCTCAGCAGTGTCAGCCATCAGGGGGCTGGAGCCTGAGGTGGACAGCACCTCCTCCTGGTTCTCACTGTCAGGACTAGGGTGCGTGGAGCCTTCTGGTAGAGACAGGGACTCCACGCAGGGGGCAGGGATTGACACGGGCTCAGTGATCTCTGGGGTGGCTGGGCGGCTGGAGGGCTTGTCACCAGGGGAGCTCCCTTCCTCCTCCATGCTGGTATTGAGCGCCTGACAGTGCTGCAGACGGGCACGTCTGGCTCGTGCCCCTCCAGGCTGCAGCAAAGTTATGGCCGGCCTAGGCCCGGGGCCTCTGTCCAGCACCACATTGTGCTGCTGTCCAGAACTGGGGCTATCTTCGGTGACAGGTAATGGCTTCTCCTCATATTCTTCTTCCTCAAGGGTCCACGTCAGATCGCTCAGGCATTCAGACTGTGCTCGCTGAGAGCAATAAAGATAGAAGCCTCGGTCACTATGGCAAACGTGAGGAAGCTGTGACATACCCACATAGGTGACTCTTCCCAATTCCCTCCTATTGCTCTACTTGGAATCCTGGCTCACAAGTTCAGCAGAACTTGGCACCTACGTCCTCAAAATAAATATTGCCTACAGCCTGCTTGGCCTGGCCTCAAAACCAATGGACTACAGAGTGAAGCAAAGCGAAGGGGACCTGTAGCAGCTGGGTGTCTGCTGTGCTTTGTGCTCTATGCTTATTTCACTTAATCCTCTGTTCATCCCGCTGAGGGAGGATTTATCTCCATTTTTGCACTTGAGAACCAGGAGCTCTGAGAGGTTGATACCTTGGGTCAAGGTTGAACCAACAGGTGGCCCAGCTAAACAGCTGGTGCTCACTCTACCACCTGAGTTCCTCCGAGCCAGTCTCCCACGTCAACACTCCTCAGGGAAGTGCCCTTATAGCAAAGCTAGATTGATTTTCCTAAAAGAGCTGATCATGTCAAACACAGTCAATTGCTAACTACAGTTTATAGGATAAAACCCAACATTTTCAGCTAAATGTAAATTCCTATAGTCTCTGGTCTTAAGTTATTCTTTATACCACCTACTCAGGTCAAATCAAGGCCCCAACACTGTGCCAGACATCCAGGCTGAGTGACTGTGGGCTGTCCCCCCAATACTTCCAGGATGCTCTGCCAGCAGCCCAAGGCCTATTTCCAACTCCACCTCTTGCTGGAAGTCTTGCCTGCCCCCTGCAGCTCACTGTTCTCCCTTGTCTGGCCTCCTAAAGCACTACTGGCTGGACAGCCATACACTACCTTGTGGTATTTTTCTTTTGAAAGATTCTAGAATTCAGATTCTAGTCAGCTTCCTCGTTCTTGTCACCAAGTCAGTTCCTGCCCTCTCAGGAAGGAAAAGAGATCAAAGTAGTAACAAATCACTCAAAAGTAGTATGTCAAAATGAACAAACGGTTGGAGGTGTTGAAGTTGATCTTTTTATAAAGCTCATGACAGGCCAGGCATAATGGCTCAAGCCTATAATCCTAGCACTCTGGGAGGCCAAGTTGGGAGGGTCCCTTGAGAACAGGAGATTGAGACCAGCCTAAGCAAACTAAAATAGAAAAATTAGCTGGTCTTTGAGGTAGGTGCCTGTAGTCCTCAGCCTGGAGACTGAGGCAGGAGGATTGCTTATACCCAGGAGTTTGACATTACTGTGAGGTAGGCTGAGGCCATGGTACTCTAGTCAGAGCAACAGAGTAAGACTCAAAAATAAAATAAAATAAAAAGCTCAAAATAAAATAAAATAAAAAGCTCATGACATGGACCCCAAGAGTTACTCAGGCTGTTGCTCTCTCCTCCCCTTTTTCTAATAGGAAATGTGACACACAGGGGTGTGTTGGCAATAGTTGTTTTGTTGCTGTTGCTTGTTATTTTAACATTTTCCAGCTGGTATCTGCTTATCAAGAGAACACAAGATGACTGGGATGTTTGTGATAACAACTGATTCTAACTCCTGCTAAAAGACACTCTCCTTTTCTTTTGGATTTAAAAAGAGGAAGAAGCCAGGTGCGGTGCCTCATGCCTATAATCTTAGCACTCTGGGAGGCCAAGGCGGGTGGACTGCCAAGGACCTACCTGCCAAGGCGGGTGGACTTCAAGACGAGCCTAAGCAAGAGCGAGAACCCATCTCTTAAAATAGCCAGGCACTGTGGTGGGCACCTGTAGTTCCAGCTACTTGGGAGGCTAAGGCACGAAGATTGCTTGATCCCAAGAGTTTGAGGTTGCTGTGAGCTATGACGCACTCTACCAAAAGTGATAAAGTAAAACTGTCTCAAACAAACTAAATAAATAAAGGAAGGAAGATGTGCAAAGAAATCTACACAGAAGAATTTTCAAAAGCTGCTGATCCTTGATGTTGTGTGTCACTGATCTTTTGCTACTACAGGAAATTGTTGATGTGGAAACCTCTTTAAGATGTGGGTCACTGTTATTTTTGTGTGTGTGTGTGTGGAGACAGAGTCTCACTTTGTTGCCCTTAGTAGAGTACTGTGGCGTCACACAGCTCACAATAACCTCCAACTCCTGGGCTAAGGCAATTCTCCTGCCTCAGCCTCCTGAGTAGCTGGGACTACAGGTGCCTGCCACAATGTCTGGCTATTTTTTTGTTTCAGTTTGGCTGGGGTTGGGTTTGAATCCACCACCCTTGGTATATGGAGTCAGTTCCCTTATCCACTGAGCCACAGGTGCGGCCCAGGATGTGGGTCATGTCTTAAACCTGTCAGTCATGAAAACCCACAAAAGGCAGCAGAGGGTGTGGCATGGCCACTCTTTCCCACCCTTGGAGTAGTTAGGGAGCATGTGAGAGCATCTCAACCCCTGAGAAGGACCAGGCCACAAGGAAGGTCCTCATGTTTGGGAAGAGGGACCTCATGACTAAAGGGTGAAAGAGGCTGTGGGCACTGAAGGACGGAAGCCTCCAATTTAGAGCCCAACAATGAATGGAGGGACACTGGTGACTAGCACCCCATCAGGAAAGCCTGGAGCCCCTGAGAACTTAAAATACCCACACCTGCTCTCTTACCAAGCAGGGGATGTGAGAAGGAAAAGGAAAGATATGGGAGCAACCGAGTTTAAATCAAGGAATGACTGTGTTTACATGTTTACCCAGACTGACTACGTCAAATTTTCTGTCATCCTAGGTAGAATGCCATGGTGTCATAGCTCACAGCAACCTCCAACTCTAGGACTTAAGTGATTCTCTTGCCTCAGCCTCCCAAGTAGCTGGGTAGCTGGGACTACACGTGCCTGCCACAACACACAGCTATTTTTCTGTTGCAGTTGTCATTGTTGCTTAGTTGGCCCGGGCTGGGTTCAAACCCATCAGCCTCAGTGTATGTGGCTGGCGCTGTAAGCACTGTGCTACGTGTGCTGAGACTCTTTTCTCTTTTTTGAGACAGTCTTGCTCTGTCACGCAGGCTGGAGTGCAGTGGTATGATCATGGCTTACTGCAGTCTCAAACTTCTGGGCTCAAGTGATCCTCTCGCCTTGGTCTCTCACAGTGCTGGGATCATAGGCATGAAACACCACTCTTGGCTTACAAAATGGGATTCAAGAAAGTCATGTTCCAAACTACAACAAGAGGGTTATAGCTCTGCGTAGGGGGCAGTGAGAGGGGCTGCATTTCCATCTAAGTATAAGCCTGGCTTCCTTCTGTCACCAGGTCCTGGCCAGGCTATGGCTGATACATAAGTCCCTGTCAGAGCAATAGATAGAGCTGTGGGAATAAAGCACAGACTTGAGGGGCAGAAGGGAGCTTGCCTTGTCCCTGGCCCTGTGGTTTCACTCAGCATGAGGACAGGCAGATCTGGAGTTACTGGGCCACGTCAAGTCTCCACAGCATTCAGCCTTTAACCACAGACATGCTGAGAAAATAAGCATGGGAACAAGTCCCCAACGCCCTGGCTGACAGGCGCCTGAAGGTGACCCACCTTGCCTCTTCCTCTAGCATTAGCCAACCCTGCTGGCATGAGTCTAAAACCCCCCTTCTACGTGCCCAAAGGAGAACGTGCTTTCTCCAGGGAGCTGTGACACCCAAGTGCACCAGCCCACTGTCTCCAGCAGAAACACCTAGCTCATCTTGGGTACTTCATCAACACTTCACAATTGTGTCGTGAGGGAAGGACAGGACATTAGCCTGGGAGCACCTTTTTCTCAGCACTGTCATTCTCTGTGGCCAGGCTGGCCCCATAACCTGCTCCTCACTTTTTCCTGGGGTGAGGTGTTATAGGTCCTGTCAGGCAGGGGAGATGGTAACAAACTGTGCACCCTGCACCCCTGAGTACCACAAAGGCAAAGCTGTCAGTGAGCCAGTTTCTCAGCTTCCAGGACTAGAAGGTAATGATGTCCTCAGGCAGCACACCCAAAGAGGGGCCTGTCCTCACAGAGGACATGAAGGACACAGAGGCCCATGCTACTAAGTCGGTCCTTGCACAAGGCAGGTGTTCCCTCTAGTGGTTCAGCTGCTGCTTCTGCCATTCACTCATTCATCAGTTCACTCATTCATTCATTCATTCAACAATTCTTGACTAGCATTGTTCTAGGGGCCGAAGTACAGCTGGAAAGGGGCTCAAAGAAGACTGACAGTGACCAGTGGGCACACAGGTTCACAAAAGTCTGGTGTGTGACAAGTGCTCTGAAGGAAGTGCATGTCAGGCAGAGCCCCTGGGGAGAGGACCTCTGAGCCCCAAAGCTGAGAAAAGCCAGCCAGGAGAAAAGTATCTGGGCAGGGGACCCAGCAATCCTGGGGCCTCAGGCCAGAGGCAGCTTAGGAAGCTTAAGAAGCAGAAAGGAGGCCAAAGAGCCGAGTAAGAGAGAGGGCAGAAGACCGAGACCTGGGCAGGGCCTGATCTTGCCAGGCCTGGCATGTGGGCTTTATACCAAGTGCAACGGGAAGGCCACTGGCACACAGCACAGGGCAGGTTCCTAGCCAGTGTGTGGGGAACGAGGGATGAATAAATGGAGTGTCATATGCGGAGAAGAGATATAGCTAACTAATGTTGAAAAAGATGAGCAATTCTAGCTCCTCCAGCATGGTCCCATCAATGGGGGGTGCTCAGAGGGGTTGTGAAAGGAGAAATGGGGGGAGAAAGAGAGAAGGGGTGGAGAATGGGATGCCAAGCCTGCCTGGCTCGCCTTTGCGTAGAGAACAAAAACCCAGTTACCGATGACAGCCGCCTCAATTTACTCGACCGCTGGTTGCGGGGCTTAACCAGGAGCTTGTGCTTAGCTGCAGAGTTGTCCAGGCAGGAGGAGGACTCTGGAGGGTGACTGAAGTCAGCCACGGGCGCCAAGCTGCTGTCTGAGGTCCGTGGGGAGACGGTGGTGTCACTTGCCTGGTCTGGAGACAGTGGCCGGGTTGAGGACACGAACGAGACCTTCATGGGACAAGGGGCAAACACACCAGGCATTAACCTCATAATGTGAAACAGGTACAGCCAACGTAAGTGCTCTCTCCTCTGACCATGCTCGGTCTTCCCTCGCTGCCTCTGGGCTTTATACTTATGGAAATACTTCCAATTTGACTCTCACCAGGGAGGGTCAATGGCTGGGCTGAACCCTAGAAGCTGCCATGGCTTTTCACAGCCATACACAGAGCTTGCGTCTAGGGCCCCCACGGCAGGTGACTCTGCCTTCTGCCTCCAGTAGCTGCCAGCACAGGTGCTTCAGACAAAAGAGATTCCTCTGATGAAACAGAACATCCCAACCTGTCCAAAGGCAGGGTCACCTGGTCCTGTCTCTGGACTCTGAGAGGGAGGCCCAGAGGTAAGATTTTAGGGGCTGTGCTGGCTCAGGTCTGAAGGTCTGTGTCCTCACCCGAGCTCTTGGAGAACTCTGGCTTTAAGTGACCATCTGTTACTTACAGACATTTTACTAGTTTATACCTCCGCAGGGAAGAAGTGACAGTCAGCAAAAAGCAATCGTGTCACCCCGGGGCAAAGGGAGAAGGGGGGTGCTGGCAGTCACACAGAAGAAGTAGGGCCACAGCCTAAGTTACTGGCACACTGAACTTGGTGAGCTCCGCATCTCTAAGGTCTAAGTGGGCTCCTGCAAAGACACACATGGGACAGAGCCTGGAGCACCTGGGAGCATGTGCAGCCTGAATACGGGGCAAGGAGCAGAGGGAGAATCTGGGAGGTGCTGGGCTTTTGGCACATCGCGGCAATTTTTGGTTCATCACACGCTGTTTCAGAAAGCCCTCACGAAACTGGTCTACTCTCATGTGCTATGACTGTTTCTTTTCTGCACACTGTGTGGGGATCCAGAAGGATGACACTATTAGAGAGATTAGCGCCGAACAGGGACAGTCCCTGCAAAGGAATGACCTCAGAAAGGAACTTATTTTCTGTGTTCACATAAAGGTCCCTCATCTTTTCTAATGAAAGTCTATGTTCACCCCTACACTGGTAAGATACAATTACTAAAATGAGGAAGAACGGGTTAGAAGTAGGCAATATCAGCCAGGGGTGGTGGCTCACACTGTAATCCTCGCATTCTGGGAGGCTGAGGCAGGTAGACTGCCTGAGCTCAGGAGTTTGAGACCAGCCTGAGCAAGAGGGAGACATGGTGTCTACTAAGAACAGAAAAACTAGCTGGGCATTGTGGCAGGCAACTGTAGTCCCAGCTACTCAGAAGGCTAAGGCAAAAGGATTGCTGGGACCCGGTAGTTTAAGGTTGCTGTGAGCTATGATGCCCCAGCACTCTCTGTCCAGGGCAACAGAATGAGACTTTGTCTCAAAAAAAAAAAAAAAAAAACAGAAAGAAAGAAAGAAATAGGCACAATCTATTTTAGCTCTCTTGTAGCTACTCAAGTACTTACGGGAATAAAGCAAAAATTATTTAAAAATAAACCACAAGACTCCTGGCCCGGCTACATCTGTGCCTGTGGCTTTGATTTTCACTATTATAGCCAATGACGCAGGAAGTCACTTTAGATTGGGAAATCGATACCTTTCCCAGATAATCTTCCTTAAAGGTCACAAACAGAATGTAAACTCATACAGAATTCTTCATATTTGACCTTGTGTAGAAGAAAAATGTCTAAATATTTGGTAAAACATTTTTCTCACTGCTTAGGACTAGGGGTCCTCAGACCTTTTAAACAGGGGACCAGTTCACTGTCCCTCAGACCGTTGGAGGGCCAGACTGCGGGCCCCGGGACAAGTCAGCTGCTAAGCAGGACAGGCAGCGGTGGCAAAAATACCCAGCAGGCTGGATAAATGCCCTAGGTGGGTTGCATGTGGCCCGCAGGCATAGTTTGAGGACGCCTGGCTTAGGACTCATGAGAATAGACAAGATGAGAATACACTTCGCAAATGCTCTCTGAATGGGAATGATGACATCATTTCTGACGACAGTCCTTCAGTCCCTTTATAAACCCAAAACCATGAAGGCTCCAAGAGACAAATAGTCCCTACTCCTCCTCTGTGTGGGTCACCATGCATTTGCACTGTCTGGGTATACAGTGTTGGGCACAGGCCTACTCTGGCTACTAGGCTGGGGCCCTTGGCATGGAGCTTAACTTCCATGACCTCTGTCCCACGTGGAAAACCTTGCACCAGCTGTCATGGCTAATCTTCCCCAAGGGAAGTCAACTCCTCTAGCCTCAGAACCCTTACCCCAGTCTCCACTATTGCTCAGAGAGCTCTTGGGGACTCGAAAGGCTCACACCTTCATGGCTCAGGAGCCTTATGAGGTCTGTCTTTGATCCGAGATGTAACTATGTGGGGTTGGGTGGCGTCTAGGGGAGGAGGATGGGGCCAGGAAGCTGTCTTGTGCTTTCCTGGGTGGGCTGGCGACATTTTAGAGTGCATTCACAGCTGAGTAGACTGCAGTCCGTCACCTAACTTTTCCTGAAATCTATGCTTCTGCATGACTCTAGCAGCAGAGAATTTAAAAGTTTAATGTGGTTTTTTGTTGGGGGAATGCAATTCAACAAATCTGAGGAAACAGCTGGGGTTCAGAAGCTTTTTCTGGGGTGATCCTGGGTGACAGCTGCTTTACAGTGTTTGTCCTCAAAAAGCAGGGCTCAGCATTGAGGAGGGGGCTGAGGGAGACACAAGCAGGCACGCCCACCAGGCAGGAGGCAGAGATGGTGGGCCGAGGTCACTGGTGATGAGAAGTCCACTGGCCCTCCTGGGAAGGGCAGGCACTGATCTACCCACTCTCATTATCTTCCCCCCAAACCCTCTGAGGACACAGATTCTAAGAGGTGACAAACCTGCCCAAGGCCTTGCTTCGTAGTGGTAGGGTATGTATTTGTGACCAAAGCTGTGTCACTCCACCACCTTCCCTTCCCTCATCCCCAAGAGCAAAACAGACTTAAGAGACCTGCCGGTTTTACCACCTTCTACCCAGAATTTCCTACCTAGAATATGACCAGATAGACGTAATTTTACCTTAAAAACCACCAGGTAAAGTTTTATCAGTTGTGATCTAATGTGGTTATAAGTTTGAGAAATAATTCCACATATTTCCTGAAAGCTCTCTTTTGCCAGGAAATGTCACCTTGGCAGTATCATCAAATACTTGTCACTAAAGCCTTTTCACAATAACTTTAAGTTTTTCTATCAAGTATGTAGGTCTATATAAGGTGTCACATAGAAAAGAATTAAGCAGCCCATAATCCCATCCTTTTGGGATTTAAGGTGCCCTTATACTAAATACTATGTGTTATATAAACACATCTTAAAGAGTGTATTGTTTTTCTCTCTCCATCAGCCAACAGTGCACAAAAAACTTCTAAGAGATCAAAATGTAATCACTGTGTCCTCAAAACCAAGATGATAAAGATTACCCCTTTTTTTTTTTAAGTTTCAAAGACCTCTATTTTGGTTTCCTATGAAGTTAAGGATTGTTCATATTCTCCACTAAGATAAAATCTTAGAACACTGGTTTTGTAAAAAAACAAAGTAACAACCACCAAAGGGACGCCATGAAAGCCAAGGTCAGCCCTGGCCCAGTGTGAGTGGCTCCCACTCAACTAACCGTGGAATATGTGCGTCCTGGTGCCGTGCAGGTTTGGAGCTGGGCTCATTTGTTCTCTAATGAAAACAGGGGGAGGAACTATCTGTTCTTCCTGCCTGTTCCGGCTAAAGGCAGGGAACAGGACGCTGTGTGAAGCAGGCATCTGTGGGCAGGGAGGCGGCACTCAGTCAACACTGAGTAACAAGGCAGCCCCCAACAGACAACTCCCTACCATGTGGCCCGGAAATACACAAGTCACATCTGCTCCCAAGAAGAAGATACTGAAACAGCACACACAAGTATTTTAAGGTGTTAAGGGGCACAAGGTCAGCTCAGTGGAACCCAGGAAAGAGGCTACACATTCTCCTTCCCACCCTCGCTCCCTCTCCTTGAGGCTAGAGAGCAGGCATGGGTAACCCACTGTCTTCAGACCCTGCTCCTGGAGTGAGGAAGGACAAGTTCACCCTGCAGCAGGATATTGGGGAATAATTCTCCAGCCAGCTTCGTGTGAGCCCCCAACCCTGGAGCTTACTTTAACTCAGCCATACCATAGTCTTCCTTCTACCTTTCCAGAAGGAACGCACACCTACACACAAAAATGAGACGTAGCAAGGCGTCCAGGTATCCAAGTTGAAGTGGTTATTGAATGTAATTCAGAGCAGCACAGAATCTGCAGAGCACTGGCTCACAGTGGAAGCCCGATTCACTGTAAACAGTCCCTGGAGCAGGCCAGAGGTGACAGTGTTCCAAAGATGCATGGGCAGGTACGTGGCTATAAAAAATAAACTCTGGCCTTTATTTGTTTTTCAAATGTCAGCATAACTCAGATAACTCCAACTCTATCCACCTCCACAGCAAGCAAGACTTGTCTGCATGGGGAAAATAATAATCTATTTTTGTCATTTGGTATAATTACCTTGCATGGGTGTTAAGTAGTCTTATTATAATAAAATAAAACTTTTTAAAAACATCAGCACCATGAGCTATGTTGTTTACATGGGAGAAAGTTTAATTCTTCAGGCTCCTCCTCTCAGATTGGTATGTGGGATGGGTTGTTCCACCCTGTTAAGGTCATAAACTCCTCTCCTGCTTGTCACCCTGTCCCTGCTGCCCTGTTAGCCAGCAACATGCCTCACATTACTGCTCCTAAACCAATATGTTCTCATGGTTCTGAGACTCAGACTTGAGCTCCTACGTTAAGGGTTATATAACATGTTTACTACTTCCCTCTCCCTCTGGCCAAATGTCACGACAACAGAAGATAGAAACCAAGGTGTTTCCCTTCTCTCTTCTTTGAAATAGGGTTCTGGGACTGGCTATCTGCTCAGACAGGAAAGACAGGTATGGGGTTGATTGTATCAGACTTGTCACCATCACAAAAAATGCTGTTAAAACCACATCTTCTAACCACACCTGAATTTCTGCCTAAAGAATGAAAAATAAATACAGTGCAGGGGCTGACTCTAGGTGCCAGTGACCTGGCCTGCCACACAGTGCACAGCCTCACCCACCCACAGAGATCTCAGGGGAACATATGGAGGTCCCAGAACTCGGGCCCCCTTGGTGGCGGATGTGGGTATAGATGCACACTGGCTCAGGGGGCACTTGCCTTTATGGTGGGGCCGAGCGCCACATCATGCAGCAGGGACATCTCTGGGGGGCTCCTGGGCAGCCCGTCATCCTCAGAGCTCATGCCAGCATCCTCTCCCCGCTTGGTGGGAAGCGCCCCTGGAGGAGGTGGTGGCCCCATTTTCACATTACACTGGATTTTTAACTAGATTAGAATAAAGAACATTTGCTCTTATTTTCATTAACATTTATCAACAAGTCCTCCCGATCCAATCCATTCATTCAGGAAATGTCTTCAACACCCTTATGTGGTACAGAGAGCTGAGCCCAGGGAGCACCTGCACCAGCTCTCTGCCTGTCATCTCTTGCTCATTCATCTAAGAATGAGTCTAGATCCACTTGTAACTCATTTGGAGGGTTATGATCTGTGGGGCTCTACTTGACAGTGTATCAAATAAACCAAGCAGAAAGCATTCAAAAACTTCTCAATTGATACTTGACAGACATACCGAGCCACATGGCCAAGGAAAGGTTTACCTGCAGAGCTTTAATCCGATCACACACATTTTCTTGGGAAAATACTCGCACAGGTCGAGCAGGGTCCTGTCCAGACTCAGGGATGAAAATACTGTCATGTGAGAGGGCCCGGCTTCCCAGTGTGCCCCTCGACTCCCTAGGACAAAAGAGCCACTGTGAGATTCTGCCCACGTCCACCTGGAGGACTCAGGCTGGGAGAGGGGCATGTGGGGTCACAGCACATCATACAACACTCCCTGGGTTGCATTTGCTTGTTGTTGCCCTTGACTTCTGTTTGTCCCTACACTATCAAAGGCCACAGTCAAGTATCAGAAGAGCAGTGCAGGGATAGGAATTTTCCTAGGAGAGCTAAATGTTGAGTGAATTCTTTAATTCTTTTTATTGATGAAAAAACCAAGGTCTGGCAAGGTGTGAGGTCCAAGATGGCAAGCCTGGCAGGGCTGGGCTTTGAGGAAGCCTGTCATGGGCCAGGGAGGGGGAGATCATGCCTTGTAGGCAAACACGCAGCTCCTTGGTGGGCTGGAAGCTGTGTTTGCTCAGCAGGCTCATAAGACACTCCAAAGTATACACCCACAGCTGGTTTGAAATGAGAGCTGAGATCTGCAAAGCCACGGCCTCTTTTTATCACCTGGTACCATCCATGCGATCCTGCCTCTGTGCCTAGGTGCTGGAGGAGATATGGCAGGCCTTTCTGTCGTCACCATCCCAGGATCTGATTTGTAACTGAACCCACAGGACATTCACAAAATGTCCTGAGAGGATGTGGGAATTAGCCATCAGATTTTCCTAGCAGTGGTGGCTGCCTGAACAATAGGTGGAAGGAGATGACTGAGACCTGGATGATGAAGGAAGGAAAGCCTGTCTCTGCACAGCGACATAGTGTGCGTACCAACCCCACCCCCATCTTCCCGCCTTCCCCACATGACCCCTCCCCCAGGCATCCTGTCCACTGTGAGGCATGTGGGTTTCTGAGGTGTGGCTCTGCCCCATGGTTGGTTAATGATGCTTCCTTTGAATAAAACTCCTTCCAACCCTGCAACGTTAAGGCATGGCTCCCAGAAGGGTGTGTCCTCACATTTCCGGGAGGGAATAAGCCAAGTGAAGGAACTTGGCCCTCCTTGCCAACAGCAGCTCTTAACCCAAAGGTCACACATGCACCTAGATTTCCCTCCTCCAGTGGGTGTTCTTGGCTACACCCTCTGGAAACCACAACTACTGCCTAAACATCTGGGTGTAGCAGGAGCAGAAAAGCATGAAGAGGCCTCCACAAAAATACACTGGCAAAAAAGCAAAATGCCACGGGCACAAGGTCATTCATTACAGCAATATTTATAAAAGCAAAAGATGGGAAACAACCCAAACGTCCCATAGTCGGTGTCTAACTGAAGAAAATATGGAATGTCAGTCATATAATGGAGGACTCTCCAGCTGATTCAGTGGGTGAGGAAGACCTTCATATGCTATATACAGGCATCGCCAGATTATCCTAAGGACAAAGGAACAAACAGTGCAGAACAATGCTCATGCTGTGTTAGCTCTGTGCGGTGGGGTGTGTGTGTGTGTGTGTGTCTGAGTATACATATGAATACACACCTGTGCCTTTGCTTCTCTTTCTAAAAATAAAAATAGAAGGGCAAGTAACAAATGAATAAAATTTGTTTCCTTTAGGGAGACAGAAAAAACTAGATACAGAGACAGGGTATAAAAGTACCTATATTTACAATTTTGTCTTTGAAACTAGGTAAATGTTTTATGTAATTAAAAGATAAAATAAAACCAAATGGGAAATAAATCTCTAAAACTAGAATCCAAAGAGAAACAAACAAGCCTAATTTTATATGAAATTGAAGGCATGATCGTACAAAGAAAAGAATGATTTCAAATGACTTTGACGCTACATCCAGAATTGGGTCAATTCTAAGAATAGTAACAAAAACTCCAAAGCTATCAACTTGTACACAGTAATACTAGCAATAATATTAGTAACAATGAGAAGAATAGCAAAAATTAGCAAATTATACTCTGTAGTCTTATTACTAGTAACACTGATTAAAAGGCAGAGTACAAAATAATGTTTATAACATAACTTCTGTGTAGGAAAGGGGATAGTAAAATTATCATAAATATGTGATAGGATAAATAATTTTGTTAATATAAGGAGCCAAAGTTTTCGTGCAAGAGAAAAGAGAATACAAAGAATCAAAGAAGTAAAAATGTTGCCTTATTAAGCTTGAATTGAAGTATCAGGGAATTAACGAATCAAAGATTTGTTTTCCTCCAGGAAATAAAACATAAAGGACAGCCAACTAGCAGTCATCACCTGGCAGTCAGACTGTGGTCTCTAAAAACTATTTCACATTATAAGGAAACAACTAGGGCCCTGTAATTTCAGGGCGTGAAATCTCAGGTCTGGAGCAGGAAGTCTGCAGACCAAACCTGGGATTTCTTATTGTGCAAGAAAGCAAGGAAACTTTCAAAGATGAATGGGGTCATGTCAAATGAACCCAGGAGCTAATCTGAAATGACTCTCAATAGCCTAAGATGGAATAATTTGATCGTTAAAAAGAATACTGTTGTGGATTAAAGCAAATCAAATATATCAAAATCAGCACATACCCAATGATACCTGAGGGGGGAAAAAGGAAAAGAAAAAACAAAACTCGGTATCACGGTACCAGACTTCAGGCTATACTATGAATCTATAGTGATCAAAACAGCATGGTACTGGCACAAAAACAGAGTGGTAGATTTATGGAACAGAATATAGAACCAAGAGATGAACCCAGTTACTTATTGTCATTTGATCTTCATCAAGCCTGTCAAAAATATTCAGTGGTGGGGCGGGAAAGACTCCCTATTTAACAAATGGTGCTGGGTGAACTGGCTGGTGACCTGTAGAAGACTGAAACTGGTCCTCCACCTTTCACCAACAAAAACTGATTCTCACTGGATAAAAGATTTAAACTTAAGACATGAAACTATAAAAATACTGGAAGAGAGTGCGAGGAAAACACTTGAAGAAATTGGCCTGGGAGAATATTTTATGAGGTGTCCCCTCCCCCACCCCGGCCAATTGAAGCAATACCAAAAATACATTACTGGGATCTGATCAAACTAAAAAGCTTTTGCACAGCCAAGAGCACAGTAAGTAAAGCAAAGAGACAACCTACAGAATGGGAGAAGATTTTTTGCAGGTTATGCTTCTGACAAAGGTCTGATAACTAGAATCTACAGAGAACTCAAACTAATCAATAAGAAAAGAACAAATAACCCAATTTCTATGTGGGTAAGAGACTTGAATAGAAACTTCTCTGATAAAGACAGGTGCATGGCCTACAAACACATGACAAAATGCTCATCGTCCTTAATCATCAGAGAAATCAAATCAAAACCACTTTGAGATGTCATCTAACTCCAGTAAAGATTAGCCCACATCACAAAATCCCCAAACTACAGATGTTGGCATAGATGTGGAGAGAAGGGAATGCTTCTACACTGCTGGTGGGAACGCAAGCTAATACAATCTTTTTTGAAAGACGTAGACCTAAAAGTAGATCTACCGTTTGATCCTGCAATTCTTCTACTAGGGATATACCCAGATTATCAAAAATTATTTTACAACAAAGACATCTGTACCAGAGTATTTACTGCAGCCCAAGTGCCCACTGATCCATGAATGGATTAACAAATTGTGGTATATGTACACCATGGAATGCTATGCAGCCATGAAATAGATGGAGACTTCATATCTTTTATGTTTACCTGGATGGAGCTGGAACATATTCTTCTTAGTAAGAAGTGTCTCAAGAATGGAAGAAAAGGTATCCGGTATACTCAATACTACTATGAAATCAACAAATAATCACCTACACACTCATATGAATGGCAAAAAATTAACTATAGTCCAGAAAGTAGAAGGGAAGAGGAGAGAGAGGGGAGGGGAGGGGATATGAGAGGAGGGAGGGTATTTGGGGTGGGACCTCACCTAATGTGCATGATGCAATGGTACATTTCAAAACTATTAAGAAATGAGTATAATTGTGATGGATATGTTACTTAGTTCAATGTAAGCATTTCACATCGTATATGAAAGCAGTACCCTGAACCCCATAAATACATCAATGTACAAAGTTAGGATTTAATTAAAAAAACAAAAACAAAAACAAAACTCATCAGTCACTACTGGAAGTTGGTGGGGTACCTGGTCTTTTACTCTGAAGAAGTATTGATAAAAGGAGAACCATGCCTTAACCTCACTTTCCTGCACAAACTGTACCTCAGAGGAACCGTGCAGTTGGTGAAGGCTGGTAGGGAGATCACACTGACGCCCCTGAAGCCACTACTGGGAAGTGTGATATGAGGTGACAACACCTGCACCATCCTGAACTTAAATATAATCAAACTGCTAGATCCATCTAACAGTTTATGAGGAACTGAGAGAATAAAGGGAAGAGTCTGATCAAACTAAGACCAAGCAAATTCAGAATGAGGAACATTCTATAGGGTGAATGGCCCTGCTCCTCCATCAGATCAATGAGATGAAACAAAGGGTAGAGAGCAGAGGGAAACTTGTAGTTTAAGAGACTTAAGCAGCTCAATTGCACAGACACAGAATCAATAAATGGGCATCACCCTTTTCAATCCACAAGGTCCCATGTGGCTTGCCAGTACTGATACGCCTTAGCAAATGGAGCGGTTCTGATGGATGAGAAGTTGCTGCAGACTCATGCAGAGGCCAAGAGTACCTTTTAGGATCTCACTTCTTCCTCTGGCCCTCTAAAAAATGTCATTTGCACTTCCTGGGCCTCATGATACACTACCCCCAATCTCACCCACCTAGCATTAATCTCAGCAGACTGCTACCAGTAACCAAGGGCCAGCTCCCTGGCAGGTGCTGGGAATATAAAAATAAACAGACAGAGATCCCCTGTTTCTGTGGACTCCATTAAAAGGAAGACACAGACAAGTGAACAAGTTACTTTACCCAGGTTTGACCCCTCAGCTGGGCTCCCAGGCCTATATCCCCAGCTCTAGAACTGTATGCTATAGTCAAGAGATGAGGGTGGGTGTGGAGTGGGTGCTGTAAGATCCCTGGGGCTGACCAATTATTAAGTGATCATACTCAAAAATAAGTAATATTATTATATTACAATATCATCTCTCTCCCTGAGGGTTCATAGCATACTGCCCAGGAAATGTGGGCACCGTCTACATCCCTTCCATTGCAAGGTACAATGTAGGTCTATCAGGCTCCCTGCTAGCACATACGTGAACAAACACACACACACGCACACACACGTGTACACGCCTGCACATGCACACCAAAAATGAAAACAAAACCAAAAAACATAAAGAAAATCCAATTTCCTCTTCAGTCATTTGGTGCCACCAAGTGGCCAGTATAATTGCTACTCCTTAAAAACCGGCATGGAGGTGGGGGAGGGACTAGACACCATTAATGGGTGCAAAAGCCTGTGACCACCCCCCCATCTCAGTGTGGTCTACTCTCCATCCTGAAGGATATCAAGCTTTCTGAAGAGTTTTGTCCTCAAATTAAAGGGCCAATGTTGCTTAAAAGAAAATGTAGAAGTGGGCCTAGCAAGAAATCTGTTTCTTTTCCTTTTAGTCACAGAAATAACTGGAGCATATACATTGTAAACTATATTTTGATGACATACAAGTTATAAAAATAAGGATGTATTCACTAGGCTATCTCAAATTTTTGTACCTATTGGGTCTGTTCTTCCTAATGATATTTTTGGGTGATTTTTCTAAGACTGACCTGCAAGAAGCTTTTTTCCCCTTCTCTTTCTCTGTCCAGTGAAAATCTTAATGATTACTCAACATTCACGTATAGAGAAAACAAGAGAAGAAAGAACAAGTGTATTTTTCTAATATAGTATCCAGGTGCCCAAAAGAGTTTTAAGTCAAATTGAACCAGGGCCTATATCCTAATCCTGCCTGTCCCTTTCAGCGGCAGGAAGTTGGCCAAGTTCCAAATTTTCTCTAAAGCTTATTCCACTCATTTATAAAACGGTACATAGTATCTCTTCTCCCACAGTTACTGTGGACTTTAAGTATAGACAGCACATAGCAGGTAGCTGCTCATGTTTTTCCCCAACTTTCTACATCCCCATGTCTGACCAGACAAGAAATACGATGTGTTTGGAAGAACCTCTAACAGGATTACCCAGGAGGAAAGGAGGCTCAGAAATCTGGCAAGTTACCAAAATAATAAAACGGAGGATTTGGGTGCCCCTGTGCCCAGACACCCCCTCCTGCCTGCGGGAGCACCCAAGCCAGAGGGATGTACAAAGCCACTTACTCCAGCTCATCCTCAGAGTCGTAGCCCACCGGCCCTGACTCGATGGCAATGACCTCAGTCCTCGCCTGACTTTGTTTCCAGGTGCTACTTCCTGTGGACGATGGAGATTCCTTTCTCTTCTTCTTCCCGAAGAACTTCTTGAAAGTTTTGAACTTCGATTTTTTCTTTCCTGTACAGATTTTTTAAAAACACCAAATAAATAAGCAAGAGCATGTGTTTATGTGCAGGGGCGAACTGTGCCCATGAAGAGGAGAATCCAAAACTTCTGCCCACACATCAGTTATTTGCTTCAGAAAAGTCCTGTTTCCATACAGAAATACATGGTATACCAGTTTTATATACCTGAAAACAAATCTTGATTTCTGTTTAAGATATTTCAATATATGAGCCCTGAATGCTTTGGAACATGATGTCACCTTCATCCACAAATTTTATCCTATCCAGGGTCCCATGATTTCCCCTCAGCAGCTCAGCCAACTTCATTCCTTTTCTTAGGGGTATTTATGAGAACTGACAATAGAAGCAGGCCTGGATTTAGGATGCTGTCTAATACATCTCAAAAATTTGCTAAGTAAATAATGTAATGAACTGAATTTCTTTAGGAAAAAAATCAGGATCTTTCTATTATGTTTATACTAATAGAAGTTAATTAATATAAACTTGGAAGTTTACATGACCTTGCCCTCATATGGAAAATTACTTAGGGCTACTCTAGTAGGAGTTCCATCATTTTAGGTGAAGCAAACCCCTCTCCAAAGGGAAATTAGTTCTATGGCAAAGATTTCTTAACTTCTAGTGGCAGTTTTCATACTTTTCTAATCACAAAATGTTTGTGCTGTTAACAGATGGTTCTCAGTGAGCACCCTTGCCACACAATTAAAGCTGTTAACATCTCTTCCTGTTATTTATTTCTAGCTTAATTGCACTGTAGTCTGCTAACATACTCTTGGGACTTGCTTTATGGCTGACCACCTGAAAAAATTTTTGTCAATGTTCCTGGTGCTTTTGGAAATAATATATTTCCTTCAATGTTCTGTATGTGTCAATCAGGATAGGCCTTTTTCATGGCTTTGTCCAAATACTTTGTATCTTTACCGATTTTTTAACATGTTTGTTCTATCAATTACTGAGCGGTATGGCAAAAAAAAAACCCACTCCGAATGTGGATTTACCTATCTACTTATCTTTATTTAGTGGTCAATTTCTACTTTACAACTTTTGACATTATTAATACATAGAAATGTAAAATTATTATCTTGTTGGGGAATCGAAAGTTTTATGAAGCAGCCCTTTTTTAGTTATGTTTTTTGCCTTAAAGTTTATTTGAGTGCTGTTAATGGAGGTTGAGCATCAAAAGAGATGTCCGCAGCGTGAGGGATGGAGCTGTTCTTTTTGCGGCAGGCTGATGGGCAGCTGGTTTTAGAGACAAGTCTTTCTTATCAAGGCACCAAGGACATGCACCTCATTATCACGACTCTCTGGGTTGGCTCCTCTTATTAGAGTGTCAGAGGCTTGCAGGGTAAGCATATTTCTCATGGGTTTGTAACTGGACCTGTGCAAGGAGGCCACGAGCCTGTGACATGTCTCCCTTATCTGAGTTATTCCACCTGTAACAGTTTCACAGGATGGTTTTTTCAGATCTAAGATGGAGTTAGCTTGGCCCACCTAACAGGATTCTCCATCTGTATAGCTTTGCCATCTTCCCTGTGCCCAGCATCCCCAAGACAGATGTTTTTGTATCCTATTACATGGCTGGCTCCTTCTGAGGACTGTGATGGAGAAGTCTGTTCCATGTCTGTGTCTGTCCCCTCACTTCTGGGGACAGAAGTCTTGCCTATAATTTTTGGTGTTCCTTGGCTTATGGATACATTGCCCCAGATCTCTGCCTTCATGTTCACACAGTATTCTTGTTGTCTGCATGTCTGTGTCCAAGTTTCCCCTTTTAATAAGGACACCAGTCATATTGGAGTAGGAGCCCACCCAGTATGAACTTAACTTAAAATTACATCTCAAATAACCCAGTTTCCAAATGAAGCCATGTTATGAGGTACTGGGGACTTCCACGCATGAATTGAGGGAGGCACAATTCAGCCCAAAGTGTGCTGTTTCTCATCCACTGTGCCCTGCTGATTTACATGCCTGGTTATCCCTGACGACATATTATCAGTACTGAAAATATTGTTTTCTCTAATAATCTGAAGTCTAAATAGAAGGCACCTTCCTTTACAGAATATTATTTGCAAAGTACCTGGGATTATTTCCAGTCTAGGAGATGGACTGGAACTTACTAAGCAAGTTCAAGGCTTGACTTGTGCCTCCCTCAATTCATATGGGGTAGTTCCCAGTTCCTCTCTGAATTACCCAAGTGATGCCAATTCAACCTACAGATCTACACGAGGATTGATTTACTCCTGGTTCATTCACACTTGCTCAGATTTTGTAGCTCCTTGGGCTCCCACCTAGTTATAGGGAGAATCTTCTATTAGACAGTCTACCCAGACAGGCTACTTTGATGTATGAGCCTCTCTCTTACCTTTTACCCCATGAAGATGTGTGAATGAAAGGTAAAATTTCCAAGACTGGTAGAGGATCTAAGGGCAAAAGTGCATTTTATGCTCACTTATCTCTCTGGGTCACCATTTTTCTTTTAATTTTGGCCTCATTTCTTTTATTAAAAAAATGTTCTAAAGTATATTCTTCTCTACAATTTTAAATTTTAAGTGGGAGAAGGTTGGTCTGAATAACTTAAGTTCATTATTTGAAAAAAGAATACCTAGTGTCTCTTTCTTTTCTAAAATTCATTCTTCATGGTAACTTTTCAATAATATTCAATATTATTACTGATAATTCAATATTCAATAATATTACTTAGTTCAATATTTAGAACTAAGCATTTATTGAAGTTGCTTCAAGCTAATGAAAAATTTATTCAAAGTGTATTTTTTTCTGTAAAATGAGTAATGATTCAGTGTCCCAAATATGAGAAAATTTGAAAGTATACTTTTTCTCAGAGCTAATTAAAAAGCCCTCACCTTAGGGCGGCACCTGTGGCTCAAAGGAGTAGGGCGCCGGCCTTATATGCCAGAGGTGGTTCAAACCTAGCCCTGGCCAAAAACTGTAAAAAAAAAGCCCTCACCTTATATTTGAGTTTAGTTGGTAGCCATTAAAATGTGACAGAGGAAAAGTGGTTCTAATATAAAATAATAAGGAAAATCTATCTATAATATATGAAATAGAATCTTTACTGATATTAGTATCTGTAGATGGTGGTGAGCAGCTAGAATTTAATACTATTGGAAGCTATTCCTCCCGCATTTTATCAAAGAAAATATTTACTGGTATTTTGCCTTTAAACAATAGAGAGCTAAAGACCTTTGTTACCAAAATAAGGGGATTATAAATAGCTAATCTAGAGAGAAGCTGCCTTGTGGGAAGATCGATTTTTTAATGTCAATTTTACAACTCTATCAAGACGCAAGTAGCAATATGTGGATGATAGTAAACCATTTTAATCACATAATTGGCTGATTCTTGGAATGTATTATAATTTGAGATAATGATTCATGGATCTGGAATTTAGCTTAGTGGAGAATATAATAAAAGTCTCCTGAAGGAGAATAAAAGTCATAAAAGAGAGATCAAAGGCTTGCTCTTGATATAATTATTTTTTATGGATGATCAGGCCATCCTGTACTTTGCCCAACTCCTACTGGTATGCTTGGATATTTTTAGATGATAAATGAATCCATCTAGTCTCTTCACTTTCAAGTCAGCCAACATGGGGACACTGTTACCTCCAGGAATGAGGAAAATGAAGTTAAGAGCGCCTATGACTGACAGAGAAGTGAAGCAGCACTGCCCTCCTGTGGCCTCAGCTATAATAACTTGGATGTGCTGTCAGTTGCACCGTGAGGGCCTTGGGGGTATGAGAGCACAGTGAGATCCCAACCCCAGTCCCTCTCTGTCCCACAGCCAAACAGTAGCTTCCCAGAGCCAGGGGAGCCAGGGCCTTACCTGTGCCATCCTCTCCAAGGCCTTCTGCGGCTTCCCGAAGCTTAATGTCCATCACCCTTGTGGAAATCATGTCCAGCTCACTGAAATCAGATGGAAATTCATGTTATAGAAATACGTTTGGCAGAAGTTATCCATGAGTTAAGTGGTGGTGACAACTGCTTTTGGCATGACCTCATCTGTACACACCCCAGCAAAGAGAGTCCAGGGCAGAGTGCAGGACATACAGGCCAAAGGCACGTCCACAACCATGAGATCAGTAACCACACACTCGTTTAATCACTGACCAGGGCAATTTAATAGAAAACAGATTACCGGGGCAAATGCTTCACTAATTCACACATGCAGATTAGGTTTCTTTCTTTCAAAAAAGTTTTTCTCAAATGATGAGGAATTACGTTTTTCTCTTGTTTTACTATATAGAAGGTATGGAAAATATAGAACCCCATGATCCCACCAACCAAGATGAAAATAGGTACTGTTTTCATTACCTCCCAATGTCTTTTCTTTGCAAATATTTTCTGTACATGCATACATATTCCATAACTAGGAAGCTCGACTTGCTGATTTTCTGATAGCACACCATTAAAATTCTTTGTATAAGTGTTATTCTGATGGCTACATCATATTCTGACATATAGCTGCACCATCATATATTTATATTGAGTTTTTTTTAACTTAATGAAACATTTCAAATCAATACAAAATTACAGAGAACATATAATGCACTTAAAATATGGCTAATCTTGCTTCATCTTTTTCCCCACTCTTAGCTGGTTATTTCCAAGCAAATCATCCCAGACGCTACTATCATTCTAGTCGTTTGGATTTGGTTTCTTCTTAAAAGTCTCTGATTCTTCATGGAAATCAAATAAATGACAACTGGTCAATATTCTTGTTACAGAATATTGAGCAGACCATGTTTCTGCCTTCCATAGCTGACTGTGGAATACACTATTTGTTTACAAAGTTAATTAATACACTATTTATTTACAAAGCTATTTCTTACTGGTAGTTACTATGAAACCTCGCACTAGAAAAGGAGGCTCTACTATTTAATTACCCAATTCACATTACCACTTGCACACAGTACAGGATAGGAAAAGATGGGAGAAATATAAGGAAAACACTTCACAGAGGAAAGGGATTGTGAGTTTGTGCCAGAGTTGGTTCTAAAATTTAGGTCTCTTTTAACATCCATACTAAAATGTCCATCTTTTCTGCCAGCCAATACCTTAAGAGCTGAAAAGACCTTCACCAGCTTCGGTTCAATTTTCATACTTTGGCTTTATAAAAATGTCAGCTCTGCCAAAAACTCTTTGTTGGAACCTTACCAAATTTGACTCATCATCGTGCTATCATTATATATGTAAAATGAGGGTTAGACCGAAATAACATTTTTCAAAGAATATCTATGATCATTGTCAAAGTAACAGACAATGCTGTCAAAGAGAAGAATGATTATAATGGTTCTATCTAGGCTGGTAGTCCCATTCAAAGGCTCAGGTGTTCCAAAAGGTTCCCCCTCCACCCCCACTATGTTAGAGTCAGGCAGCAACCTCCTGATCCTAAGATGCTCAAGGATACTGACCAAGGAAGAGGAGTTACCAAAACATTCCCAGGAAGAGGCAATGGAGACGGGAAATATACAGAGCAAGAAGAAGGATGAAAATGGTGAAAGCTGGTTAAAAATCACCAGTTATCACCCTGGGTACCACCTCCAAGGGCTGCGACTGAGCTAGAAAGTAGAAGTGTAAGAGCATTCTGTGGCTTGAATTTGCAGTTAACCAGCACATATGTACATGACTCATCAGGCATGCAGCATATCATCTGAATGATCTCCTTTAATCCCCAAGAACTTTGAGTATTCTCCTTTTGGAGATGAGAACATATATTAGGTGGTTTACTAACTTGCCCAAGGTAGCAAAGCTGACACTGGCCTCCATACTCATGCTGACTTCACACTCAGCGTGTGCAGTGCTTCTGAGGCACTGGGATACAGTGACACATGAGACTAATGTAGTGCCTGCCTCTGGCAGGTGCTGACCCAGTGAAGGGGACAGTCTTGAGCTTCTCTCAGAGTGGGAAGGCTGGGGAATTTGAAGGACAGAAATCTCCCACTGAAATGGCTCTGCCTGCAAGCAGCCCTGTCAAGGGTCAGGCCAGGGCTCAGAGGCTGAAGGATCCCTGGGAGACCATCCATTGGTCTTAGTCTGAAAGTCTTAGGCATCTGAGACTCCCATGATGTGTCAACTAATTGGGAAAGGATTACACCCTGGAAAAACCATCATGTTACCTGTCAAATATCCAATCACCTCTGGCAAATGAAAGGCTTCTTGCTGGGAAATGCTGGGAACATGCAGGAGTGTGTGTGGAATGTATACAAGACCCCAGGGGTGAGTGTCCACACGGATACCACAAGGATACCCCATTCTGCCCAAACTGGAGCAGCACAGAGATTCAGATTTGCTCCTCCCTAGATTGAGGGTGTGGCTGCAAGAAAACAAAAAAGCCACATGAGAGAGGGAGGGCTCAGTAGCAGGGAGAAGACAGGAGGACTGGGTGGTCCCAGTCTCCTTGAGTAGGTCCTGCCTGAGTAGGTCCTGCCCTTCTCTGGCAGGTAGATGAAGACAGCACCCCCAACTGTTGAGATTGCCAGCAGACTCACACAGGAGGAAATGGTCACCCACTGACAAAGGGACAGCAATGGGGCTTATGTCCTGTGGGAGGTTTTAGAACCTATTCATGTTTTAGGTCCCAGATGTCATCACACTAGTGAGAATATAATCTGGGGCAGAAGAAAAGAGCAGACTTGGATATCAGGCAGCCCTGGGATTGCACCTTCTCAAAACCTACCAGCACTGGGCGTTACATACAAAAGGGGGGATAATAACACTGCAGTTAAATGGGACCAGAGTGCAGCACTCAGCAGGTATGAGCTGAGAACTGCTGTTGGTTAAGGCAGCCCATTCTCCACAGCATGCCTGTCTATGCACATCCAATCATACACAACTGGCATGCCCTGACTGCAGGTGAGCATCAGACTCCTTGCACAAATGGGTCTTAGAGTCACCATTATCAATCATAGAACAAGACACTGGATTCCCAGCTGACCCCTGTGCCAGATAATTGATAAAAACACATTCAACGTTGTGGAGGGACACCTGCCCTTTGAGACTACCGAGCATGCAGATGGAGAACTATCCCCTTCCGGTGGACATGCCTGCTGCAAATAAACCACAGCTGTGACAGTGGAATGTCAGCTCTGCTGGGCCCAAGTAACTTGCTTTTCTGAACACGCATGGCCACCCCCAGTCAAATTCAGGGAAAAACCAGAAGAAAAACCACAATTTGAAAGACAATGGTGCAAATGCAAATACCCAATTGCTCCCAATTCTCCTTTTGCTTCCTTGCTGAGGACTCAACATTCAAGTCAGGCCACCCAATGTCCCCTTAACCATGGTCTGCTCTCTCCCCTCCCAACCCTGTTGTCATGACAGTGCCAAGTTCAAGTCAAGAAAAACCTATACTTCCAACTCAATCTGGACCTGCGAGGCCACTTCAGGGGTTCTAATTAACTTGCAAGGGTGCTGAGCCTCTGTGCTGCACACAGTGTGTACTGGGGTACCCACACAATCCAAAGGAGTCCTGCATCCAAAGCAAGCTCAATGTGGGGTGCCCACCCCTTCTCTCTCCACTTGACTGTAACCACAGGCTCTGCCAGGTATAGCAGAATTCCATTGTTAGTTACAGCTTCTATTGAAAAATTTACTCATATGAAGAATGACAATAGATTTTAATACAGTATTTTAAAGGTTCCAATCCATTATATTTACCTACACAATGCAAAGAAAAGTATCTGTACCCTGGCTATAGACATCTGAGCACATAATTATGTATGAAAGCTTTAGTGTTCACCCTACAGATTGGCTAATTCCACACTAATTGCTAGGCTATTAGAAAGACCCCAGTGGAGTCTTTCTTAGCTGCCTGCACCCTGTGTTCACAACATTCACCAACATTGTCATCAGTAACTTGTTTGGGGGGGTGTTCCCAAAACTGTGGGTTTCCCAGGGTGAGCTCTATGCCTGTTATATTCACTGCTCTCTTCCCAGGGGCTTCTGAGAGCCCAAAGAGCTGAACCCAGCACACTCGATAACCAGCAAACCAGGGGGTACTCTGGCTAGCAGCATCCTTTAAGACTTTTTCAAGTCTTTTTAGGGCAGAGGAAGACGGCCAAACAGAAGAAACCTGCACTGAGTGTCCCTCCACACAAACACCTAATTCAACAACTACCCGTGCAAGGGAGCACCTTCAGAAGAACAAAAATCAGGTGAGAGATCGTAACCTGGTTTTAACATTATCTCAAGGAAAGAGGCCCAGCAGAGGGCAGAAGAGGCAGTCTTGCACTGCCTACACCACCTCTCCTTCACCTGCCCCCCAGCAGTGCAGCACCAACACACTGGGAGGAGAGAGAATCCATGTGCCCTGGGAGGGAGAATGAAACAATCATGAGGCTTTGAATTAAAACTGGGGGCTGCCCTGGCACAAGGGAGCCCACAAAGGAAGCATTAGGATCAGCCTGGCCAGAGGGAAATCCTCTACCTTGAAGCCCCTAGCCCCACCACCAGCAGAAATATAACAGCCTGGGACCCAGACTAAATTTGTAAGGCAGACAGGCCCTTGACCAATTTCTACGACTGTGCTGGCTCACAGCCAGTGGACTTGGGAAGCATGTGACCCAGTGAGACACCAGCAGCTGCAGCCATGCCAGTACCTGTGTCACCACCCCCAGCTACAGGTAAGCATGGCTCAGGGAGAGCCTTCCTCCACTTGAGGAAAAGAAAAGAGCTCAGAGGACTTTGTTTTGCAACTTGGGTATCAGTTCAGACACAGTAAAATAAAGTACCAGGGAGACTCCTGAGGCACCTGAGTCCAGGCCTTAGTTCCTGGATGGCATTTCTGGCATTTCTGCACCCACCCTGGGCCAGAAAGAAACATACTGCCCTGAAGGGAAGGACTTGATCCTGGCAGGATGCACCACCTGCTGACTAAAGAGCCCTTGGGCTTTGA